TGGGCTTAGGTGATGGATCATTCTCTTCATTCCGTTGGGAAAAGGATCACCAATATACTTTATATCATTATAGGCCCTTTGGGTTCCACAGTCCAATGTAGCTTTCTATCAAGGTAAGATGGCAAGATGTGTCATCAGCCTTTTGGCGGTGAGGTGCGACACCTTGCGACCTATATATTGACGCTATGCATGGTGCATTAATGTGATGTTGTCGTGTGACATGTGTTGTGTGTTGCCGCTTCCCGAGGAAATGATGCCTACGAGGACAAGGAATGTGATGCGCTAAAGCACGAATTGCGTCATGTTGCGGGCAAGGCCTAGTCAAGTCTAGTTCAGTTGCCCTTCAGCAGCGTGCAATGTGAGCTCTTGGTTTTGGACATTTCGACCAACCCACCTTGCGGTTCGGTTCCCTTGTGGCACGCTAGCGCAGTGCAGGTTCTTGACTATTGATTAGCAAATATGGCTGAGCGGGCTAGCGGGCTAGCGGCTAGCCTCCAGATCCACACTGCCCCAAATTGCCACATATACCTGTTTGCCTTTTCACCGGCTTACATTCAACGACTGTTGCCCGGACGGTCAGATCAGATGATCTCTAGCTGCTAGCTGTCATGTGTCATTTTCAATTTGCGATTGGGTCCAAGTTTAGATTGACCAGACCACCAACCACCCCTAGGCATTGGGCCTTGGGCCAGGCCGCCGCACTCCGCACTTCTTTTCTTTACTTTTCAACACTGGGGATAGGGGGCTCAAACGCACGGCAAGTCAACAATGCACCGCAAGAATCCGAGAACCAGTTGTGTAAGTTCATCGGATTTGCATGGGCAAGGAGAAGGGTTTGCATGTTGAACGGTTTGTTGTTTGTTTTCAGTTTTCGGGCGATGGCTCACACGTGCAAAAGGTTTTGGGGCGCACAGCTTGGCCGGCTGTGGCGCAGGTACCAGGTAACAAATATATATATCTATATATTATATATATATAATCGTAGCTGGGCACTGTGACCGCAAAACAAGACAGACTGACTAGACTGGACTAGACTGAATCATAGTGATAGCCGCCAAGTCGGGAGCCGTAAGTGACAGCAAGGGACACGGTTATGATTTTCTCTCAGTGGTAAACGAGGCAGAGGCCATACCCCGTAGTTTTTGGGGTTTGCTTTTCATGAAACAGGGCGGTGACCAGGGATATGTCAATATGTAGGTGTAGGTCCTAGGGAACGCGGCCCTAGAAAGTCAGGAAGTCTTACGTTCTTGAGTTGTATAGGTATAGAGGCAGAGTGGCATAGAGTGCGTGTGCATGTGCTGGCTTTGGTTGGTGTTAGTAAGCCACCATGAATTTGGGTTGGGCCACCACTCGGACTCCCAAAAACCTGCTCAAACTTTTTGACATTCTTATTGAAGAGCAAATAATGAGGGCAAGGCCTCCTGGATTGGGCGCTTTGATCTACTCTACCCCGTTAGCTACATGGTTACGGTGCGTTTTGTGAACAACTGCGCGTCAAACGAGGGTCATCAAGGCTGCGTCCGACGATCCTAACCAAGCAATTGTGTTGCAACCGTTGCCGTTTCCGTACGAGATGATGAGACTTTGAGTCTTGATTGTGCTCAACAACATCGATGAGCGACAAAAGAGAATACAAGATACTGAATCGCACACCACCTTGCTTGGCTGTTCGTGTTGCCGTTCCCCGAGGATATGAGATGAGGGACATGTGATGAGGGGCTTGCGCCTTACTGCGATGAATGATCCTTGGACCCTTGGAGGCTCGGTTGTGATCGGCTCCCTCTCCGAGGTTTTGGCCCTCTTGCTAGGACTTAGGAAACCACCGCCGCGAGTCGCCGCGAGTCGCGAGCAAATTGATTGCGACCCCTGTATTAATAGCTCCTGCGCCCCGAGCGTGAATCGTGAAGCGCTCCTGGCGAGTTGTGAGTAGCAGCGAGAGGCTGGCTGCGCATCAGCCAGTGAGTGAGGTAAGGCAACTAGGGTGCTTGCGCGCTTCTACAGATTTTTCTTTGACCGCTTGCGGCCGCCGCTACTTGCTTACTCACTTGACTGTGACTTAACCCCAATTCCAACTCCAGGGATTCCAGGGAGACCTTGGACATTGGACGTGATTCGAACAGTCGAATGAGTTTCCAGCTCAAATTTTCCGGGGTTGTGTGCATGATGTGGTCTTTGTCTTTGTAGTGGTGAGCAGCAGTCGCAGCCAGGCCACTCACACAGGGACTCAGGTCTCCACCCAGTCAGACCAATGGGGCCGGATAGTGAAGAGAATGTTTGTGACGCGCGTTTATCACTTGTGATTTGTGGGGCAGAGGCTTTGGCTTGTCCACTCCACTCCAGTTCTGACCAGAGTCAAGAGAAATGATTTCCCACGTCACTTAAATAGCATTGGTCCATGCGCTAGGTCCCTAGGTTTGTTGGGGGCAACATGTCCTTTTCTTCAAATCATTCCCTTTGGGGCTAGGCTAGGCCCTTTCGACCACACGCGTGTGTGTGTTGCTGCTAGCTGGAGGTAGCCCACGCTGAGTTCAAAAAAAGTGGTTGGAATTTTTTAAACAATACGTCAATAGTCAATTGTGGTTTCCGGGATTCTGGGCAGGATCTGGCCGACCTCTTCGAGGAGCACTTTGAGACTTGTGAGATGTGCCAAGCGAAGTCGAATGAGGACGGGCCTCGCTTTCTCATCGCAGTCATCGCAATGGCGCAATGGAAATTGAACCTTTTCCTCTCCAAGATCGTTTTTTGCTAAGTAAAGCGTGTGTGGCTAGCGGCTAGCTAGCGGCGAGGCTGGCAGCCTATAGGAGCCACCTGACACCTGATTGTTTGGTTGATGATAGCTGCTGGCCCTACAGCTCTATAGGGCCGCAAGCGCCGCAACGCAAAGTAGATGTTCAAAGCGTGCGCAAATAAACAGAACACTGTTTCGGACAAATTTTTGGAATTTACCTCTTAGTCTTGGAATTAACATCCTTCCCTGATGTTGTTTCTTTTTTGGTGGATCCTGTGGCAAGTTCTGACTCTAACTGTTAACTGGTTCTTGACTCCGCCCTGCTGCCAGGGCGTTGCGTGGAACAAGTACAAGGTCTACAATACGAAAACCGGAAGGCATCGGCAGCCATCAGGTCCAAGATGCTTACCATGCGTGCTTGCGGTCATTATCGTTTACGATGGGCAGACTTGGGAGGAAGTGAAGGTCATTGTCCATTCGTCCCCTGAGGCCAACGGCCGCTTCATGAAGGTTCGTCTGCTGCTGAAGGATCGCTCAGCGGAGACCTTGAAGCAGTTCATAGAGCAAGAGGTTGAGTCTGCAACTGCTTATGGTGTCCGCTTGGAATGCCCATGCGACTTCATCACCCTCACTGCCTTCAAGGACAAGTTTGGGTGTGACGCACAGGATGTGGTTCCTAGCTCCATCCTCCACCTCAAGGATGAGCTCGGTCAAGAGATCAGTGGAGTTGCAGTGGATGACCCGGCTACGGAGAAGCGCCGGCTGATCCGCTATGCGGACACCTTCTTTGTCTTGAAGGCTGGCCAGCCCCAACACCGAATGGATAGGTCGGATAGGGATAGGTCAACCAGTGAACCAGGCCCGTGAATTGAACGTAGGGTCCAGGACATGAAGGGCCGACATAGGCCTGGGGAAAAAGCGCACGAAACAAAAATCAAACCGGAAGGATGCGTGCAAAGGAAAGGAGGAAAGGCGCAGGACCAGGAAAGGACAGGAAGGAAAGGGAAAGGTGAAAGACGGGAGAGCAAGGACGAAAGGGCAGAAGGAGCCAAGGAGCAATGGCTAGGTGACTAGGCAGGAAGGGAGAAAGTTGGAAAGGGAGGAAAGAAAGAACACCTACCTAGCTAGGACGTGGACTTGGACCGGACTTGGGCCTATATAAGAAATAGAAGAAACGCAAGAGTGAATCGGAGGAAGCTCTGATGCCTGGAAACGTGCTTTCGTGGGACCAGTTGACAGACAAGGTCAAGACGCACAAGAAGCAATGCTATGAGAAAGATTCCTTCGACCAGCTTCTGGCACAGTCGAGCGCTGAGAAGCCAGAGAGGGCGATGGAAGTGAGCGTGGAGGAGGTCTTTTGTTTTGCTTGTGTACATCGATCGTTTGCTTTGCTTTCATTTGATGGCCAATAAACCTGCATGTTCATCTGTTTAGGACCGCAATGAAGACCAACGGTTGACGCAGCCATTGTTTCTGACTCATCATGTGCTTGCAGCCTAGCGTTTTTTTTCATTGGCCTGCAACATGTGCCTCAGGGTTTGAGAGTGTTAGAATGCCCGGGCTCCGTGTCCTAAAGTCCAAGCATCAGGGGATTGTTCGCTCACCTGTTGTTGCCATTCTGTTTGCTGGGAACAGGGTAGCTTGAGACGGTTCGATTTATTGAGGTTGTAGCTTGCTGTTAGAACCGGCTTGGGCTCGCAGTTATGCCGTAGTATTTTGGCAATTGTTATTACACCCCATGCCTGCGTTGCGGCGTTACCGGCATCAATTGTTCCCTTCCCTTTCGATGACCGCAACCATGTGCACTTGCCCGCCCTACAAGCTTGGCCAAGACTCGGTCTCACTTCTACCCAAGATCCACGAAATTCAAGGCGCAAAGAAATAGTTTTTTGGCGTCTGTTGGTTTAGCTTTGGGTGTTGCAGCTCAAGGTCATGCCAACTGCCAACCCCGTCATGCTTTGTCAGGTGTCTGGGAGGCAACGCGTTTGAAAATTCGATGTGACCGGAAGACAAATCCAACTTCCCACACGTTCTGCCAACGGCCAATCATGCCCTGCAGCTGGGCGATCGTTTTGCTAAAGCCATGGTGACGCGCGCGACAAATCATTGTTGCCAAATGTCAAATAGATTTAGATCAGCCAGTGCTTCCATGAGTCCAGAGACCATACTGTACCAACCACTAAGTCACGAAGTTCGCCCCCAGTCTGCCGCTTCATCACTTGATTCGATTTTTTCAATTTCCCAACTTATGTGTTTCATTTTAGTGTGGCAGGTGGAAGAGGTGATGGCCTTGCCTTCTGCACCTTCGAAGGCTTTGCCCGCCCCTGCCACAGCAAGGGCTCCAAGGCGGGCTGGTGACGGCGCCGGAGGTGGTGGAGGCAATGACGGCAGCCGCCGACGCAGAAACTCTGGCTCTAAGGACGGTGCTGCTCCGCTAACCCCAGTGGTGCCAGTGACCATGCCAGGCACTCCGGCACCAACAGCAAGTGGAGCTCCTGCTGCGCCTGACACTCCCGGTTCTGTTGTGGCAGGTGCTCGTCCACCAAAGAAGGTCGCGAACTTCTCAGAGAAAGGCCTTGCAACCCTCAGAGACAAACTTGAGAAACACGTTGAAGCGTGCTGCCCGATCCGAATCTTGAATGGGGACGTGAAAAAGGGCGAGATCTACCAAACTCGCCGCTTTCTGCAATCCTTGGAGACAAAGCAAGGCTTCAACGCTGAGGTCCTCAACCTTGAGCAGCGTCTTCGTGGAGCTCAGGCAGCATTGATGTTGTTGCCTACCGAGAGTTCACGCCTACCTTGGGACCAGCTGCAAGTCCCTTGCTTTGCGTTTTTGGCACCGCTCGAACTGAATTCGACGAAGTGGGCGTATATACAATGGTCTGGTCTGGTTAGGTTTTAGGTGTCTAGAGATTCTGCTGTGCTAGGATCAGATCGTCGTTGGGTAAGTCGTTTTAGTAATTAGCAGGTTGGTTGTTGCGTTCGGCTCATTCATCTCGATCTTTGGACTGGTAAATGAGCGCCAGCGTGTAACTAGCGCTGGCTACTCCTTTCATACAGGCAACTGGGGAAGAAACGTATCCACTAGCCACAACAAAGACTAGCGACCAGAAAAGTATCCGGGCTTTGGATGCTGTTAGATGTTGAGCTGGTCACTGGTCAAGATGGTGTGAGAAGAAAATATTTATACCTTGCTACACTGTATGTACGCTGTAGGTGTTCCACTTGTTGTTGATATTGAATTTTTGTATTTATCCTGGTTACCTGGTCCGTGGTCAGCAAAGGCAAAAGGCAAAGGTTGATGGCGTGGGCGTAGTGACGTAGTGGCGCAGCACCGCTGGCGTGGCGTAGCGGCGTAGTGTTGTGTGTGTGTGTGCGTTGTCCAAAGATTGAGTACTGATGACGGTTGACGGCGTTTTGATTGTTGAATCTTGGACACCACCTCAGGAGGACTCAAGTCGTAATCCAAGGTCCATTGCAGTGATGTGGAAGCCCGGTGCGAAGAAAATGGTTCGCTGGACAAGATCCCCGACACCATTCACATGTCGCTCATCCAAAGGTTGGCCAAGGACGGGGCTCCATCTGCTGAGGGCAATGACAACGGATGGGTGGCTTTCTTGAAGGTTGTGCTGCCTTGGCAGCTTGATGATGTGGCTGGCAAAAGGACTTTAGCAGCGCCTGCTGTGAGGTTTTTGGATCGAGTGTTGCCGGAGATGATCAGATTCTCAGAGAGGTTGATTTCGGAGAAGCTTTTGACTTTGGTCCGCTCTGGCGCAGACAGCAAGAATTGCTTGACCAGCCTGTGCTTGAAAATGCTTGGGTTCATGAATGGTGACATTCCCGCAACCCATGTGAGGCCTGGTTCCACCGCGGAAGACTTGTCCCGCCTCGCCGCCTTTCGCAAAGAAGTGGGGCAAATCTGCGATGGCATCCTTGCTGTTGGGGCCGTGGGGAAGCTGGGTGAATATGATGGAGCTTGCGTCAAGAAAGTCACTGCCAATGGCAAAAGCCACCCAAACTCAATGAGTGGGATCATTTCCGCAGCTTTGGCGACCAGTGGCTACTGGCAGGAGAGGTTGCGTTGTAGGTTGGTGCCTATCGGTGGGATTCTTTTGGCGTGGCCCAAGCTTTGGGTCTGCAATGTAAAAGTAAAATAGATTATTTTCCAAGACCCAAGATTCAGAGGCTGTGTCTCTCATGGTCTTGCGCTGGCCCTTTGATGCAACTTTTTGTTGCCATTGTCATTGTGTTTGGTTTTCTATTTTCAAGTGGGGTCTTGGAGTCTAGCCAGTGTAGCTCCTTCGTGCTTTGCAGTCAAGTTTCAAAGATGCATGGCCACTCATTCCATCCACTGACTTCTCACTTCTCACTGTGCTCACTGTTGTGCTGTTGCGCTGTCGTTGGCCCCACCACTCATTATGCCAATCATCAATCAATCAATCAATCAGACGCTCCAAATTCGCAACAATGAATCAAGTGCAGTTAGGAGGTCCTGGGGTCTTCAATTTTTCGTTTGAGCCTTTGAATCTTTGAAGTGAGAGGACCAGATGAAGTCGTTTTGGTCTTTCGCGTATGCAGAGCAGGCGGCTGCTCCGGAGTTCGAGCGCTTGTCTCAAGCTTTGTCTGAGACTGGACCGGCCAGTAGCGCGCAGGTCACCTGTGTGCAAGATGCTTTGAACCAGTTGCCAGGATGGCGTGGCACACTTCGGCCAGGCTTCGTGCAGCAGTTGGAAAGCAAAGTGGCCGCCAAGCTTGAAGGGTGGACCAGGCTGTTTGCCGAGTCTGAAGAGGATGAAGAAAGTCGCAGAGCTCTTGCTGGGTCAGTGACGGTGCAGACAGTTTTTGACCTCCTCAAGAAGGGCACCTCCTCGATCCCGACAAGCAAGCGAGAGTTTACAAGGCTGTTGAATCAGGTGGAGACCAAAGCGCAGAAGGAAGCCACCTCAGCTTTGCAGGCCAAACTTGATGAGGCCGTGTTGAAGCTGGAGTGCTTGAGCGGTGGTGGTGAGGAAGCCAGCAGTGCCATCGATGCCTTCATCGACACCTGCCGCATTTCTTCCAACCTGTTCTTCAGCGACAAGTTGAACAATGAGGCGCGACCTGACCTAGGGCCTAGGGCCAGGGTCTTTCCTTCAGTTTTGTCATCTCAGCTCCAACCCTTTTTGAATCGCAGTGGTGCAGTTGCAATCTTTTGGTTGACCAGCTAGCGAAAGGGTTGGCGCACTGTTTGCCGCCGGGGGTGATGGTGACATTGCTCCAATATTCTAAGCCTCAAGAGTCAGGTTTTTTGCAATTAGATGGGTTTGTTCATAAAACAGAACAATTCTGCAGCAGTTTTTTATATTCCCTGGGTACCTACTTCGATTCGAGTGCGGTGTTGTGGTGTTGCGCTGATCTGTTGGATTGTTAGGTTTTGATTTGACAGACCTACGCCAAGTCAAGCCAAGGCCACGGCTTCACTAGGTTTTCTTTCCTTTGCACTAGTGGCTGGCGCCTGTAAGTTTTTTAAGTCTTGCTGTTGCTCTGTTCTGCTATTGCGAGACTGGTTGCGTTGCCACTGCCTTCTTGTGTTGTTGGGCTGTGTTTGGTGGGGTGGGGCGGGGCGGGCTGAACACACGCATTCGAAAACGCGGATTTTCACGACCACCGCAACCCAACATAACAAAATACACGTTACGTTTTTTGTGTTTCACGCTGAGCAAAACGGCGCCTGGTTCAACTACGAGCCTTTGGCCTTTCAGTTCCCGCTTCTATCGTTGCAACTTTTCCTATTCAGGCGAGTGGGCCTTTGGAACCCTTAGACCAGCTTGGAGTTTTTCATTGCGAAGAGGTCTGGCAGTCTGGCAAAGATGATGGAAATCATTTCTAACCGCAACAAAACCCGCGCCACATGAATCACATGACTTAGCAGCTACTAACCAGCCCAACACAACTCACGACGCGCTCTGCTCCACACCAATGGACCATGGTGTAAAAGCCAAGAGCGCAGGAGAAAACAAGTCAGGTTCTGTCGCCAAATTTCATTCTTCAACTGTCACCAATCAACAATACAAAATAGCAGATATCAAATATAGACTGTAGTGACCAGCAGCAGCGGGTTTACGCGCAGACGCGCCCAAGCAGGTGCAATTTCTGAGATGGCGACCCATAGCGCTTTTAAGTTTTAAGCGGGTGTCTTCCAGAAATGATGCTTTGTGTGATGGACGCTCAGGTTTGTGGGTGTTTCGCTTTTCCTTGTTTCCATTTCTGACTCAAGACAGTCTAAGTATGCCTTGAGGCTTGGTCATTTGCAAGCACCTCATACTTCGCATGACTTGCCTTGACGCAACTTCTCCTTTGGTTCCCATATGGGGTTTTGCATGGTTGTTGTTATTGCTGCACTTCGGCTAACATCCGACGCAGGTTGTGGTGAGGATCTTCGGTTCTGTGAAGCGTCAGCTTGGGGCAGTGAAGGGGGCCCACAATGCATTGATGCTGGTCTGCAAGCACTCGCCAGATTCAGCGCTTCGCAATGACCTCCTGGTCGTCAGTGGTTTCTTGAAGAACCACCATGACATGGTTTCAGCCGTCGACCAGTTTGAGGCCCTTGGGTCTGAACCATCCAAGCGAGTGGAAAAAGCAAATTTCCAGAAGGCCGAGCATTACCTGATGTCAACAATTCAGAGGGCGTACAAAATGGAGAGTTGTGCGAAGGCAAAGGTCACCAGCGGTGAGAACGAAACCGCTGACGCCGGAATCACTGCTGAAGAGATGGCTAAGGCCAAAGACCTTGTCGCAAAGGCTGAGGCCTTGATTTCCAACCAGAAGGATTACGCTGTTGCCTCCGCAAACTCCCAGATCCAGGGCTTCAGCAAGCTTCGCGACACGATTGGGCCCTGCTGGTATGAGAAGGTCGAGGACGCATGCGTCTTTTGGTTTTAGGCTTGTGCATTCAACGTGGCCCGCTGGTTTTTGTTGAATCATCAACTTCTCGACATGGTCTTTGCGTTTGTTGCCGCCGGTGTATAATGGCAGACATGATGCCGCGACGGATGAAATTATAGACCTGACTGAAGGTAACGCCTAGACTCCTAGACTGGAGCTAGTGAACTGCAAAACTGTAGTCACCGTAATCCAGTGCTAGTGAACTGTAAAACTGTAGTCGGTCACTGGCTGGCCAGGACGAGAAAATCATTGCTCATGGCACAAAGGTGTGGCTCCCCCTGTTCACTGCGAAAATCGAGCGCGATGCGTGTGAGCAGTACAAGAGCTTGAAGAAAGCCTTGCTGGAGGCCAATGTCGTGTACAGCAGGTACAAAGTTGATCCGCCTGCGGAAGCTCTTGAGTGCAAGAAGGTCCTGGATGCAACGATGGTCATGTGCTCTGAGGCGTTGCTCCTTCGCGCGCTGGTCTCAGAGGATCCTGCGAAAGAACTGAGGGATCAAATGAAAAGGATGGCTGACCAGCGTGTTGGCCAGGTGAACCAGACACTGTTGCACGCTGCGCACCAAATCGTAATGAAGTGAGTGAACTTATCTAGCAGAAATAGCAATGCGTAGTGGCTAGCAGGGTAGAGTCACTAGAGTAACAAATGAGGCTGACTAGCTGAGTAGCTAGAACCAGAACGAAGCAAACGCATTTGTCAAGGCAGTTGTTACTCGTTGTTTTTTGTCTGCGACGTGTGCGCTTTGTCGCTTGGATGGATCAGAACTGGTCCTTTCGTTGGGCTTTGACGTGTGCCTGATGCATCAGGTGACAGCTCTTGGGCCTTGTTGGAAGAACTACCACTTGGCAGGTGTTTGTTGACTCGTGAGCCACAAAGACAACGCAAGTTTGCTCAAGAGCTGTTTTTGGGTTTTCTTCATGTTAGAACGCTGTGTGATGTGTGGCAACTTAGGAGCAGGGGGCCTTAGCCTGTAACTGTAACTGTAGCTGTAGCTGCGACACTACCTGTACTCTGAACTTTAAATCCGACGGTGGTCCTAGATCATTGAATCATTGAAAGGGGGCCCGACTGCTTGTTGCCGTTGCCTACCAGCTGAGTAGAAGAGCGTGCCACTCCGCTTTGAGTCTCAACTCCCATAATAGAGAACATAACGTACGGTCATGTGACGGTCTGGTTCTTGTTTGAGTCTTGTTGACTCAAGGGTTCCAAGGGCTCAAGGCCTGCCTTGTGTGAAGACCGAAGGACTCAAGGAGTGCTTGGCTACTGAGCGCTGCTTTCGACGCAAAAAAGCAGAAGAAACGTGAATGGAGGATAGTTTACAGAGATTATATCCAGGATATTTATATATATATACACACATATATACATATATATTGCCCTCTGTCCAACTGATACGCGCCGGATATCATAGGTTGGAGGCCGTTCTTGGTTCTTTTCAGGGTTCACTGAGTTGAGAACTGGTTGGAACCTCTGGCGAGACTTGTGACTCGTGACTTGCCGTGACCCCTTGAACTCCCACGCCGCCCTATGGCCCTAGGCCCTAGCTGGGCTTGCGCTGGGCTCGTGACCGGACCTGCCCTCACGTGGCTGCAAACCGAACTTAGCCGTGAGTCGTGAGTGGCGCAGTTGCTACACTGTAAGTTTTGGTGTTTAGCATCGCCTTGCTGATCGCGAGTTGTGATTTTGAGACCTTAGACTCTAGACTCTCGCAACCTAGTTCGCTGACAACTTGACAAACTCCTTCTGCTGCTGCTGTTCGGGCCTTTGGCCCCCCCCCGTAGATCTTGAACTTCCTTTTTTCAATCGCTGTGCCCACGGTCTAGAGTCTAGAACTCAAGAGTTTTGAAGCCGCAAGGCAATTGAGGCAATTGGAACTTTAGGTCTTGGATTCGGATTGCAGCCAACTGTGTCACTGAGTCACTATGTTCGCAAGTTTGCCGTCGCCGTTGCGCGGCCTTTGCCCAGGTCCGGTCAACCAGTGACGCAGGGCGTTGGGAGTGAGGGAGCAGGGAATTCAAACCAAAAGCAGTAATCCTTCGTCTAGTGACTGACTACAAAGAAAGA